ATGCTGACAGGTTTGTGGCAGCGACCTCCTCTTTAGGAAGCCTTTTCTGGGCTGTGGTTAAGGCAGTGTATGTTGGGACTGAAGGAGAGCATAAGAAACCTGCATCCAGAATTTGTCCAATGCATATGAACAATTGTTATGAGCCTGGGTACTGCTCCACCAGATCATGCCTGCTCTGCTACCTGGAATTTTTGGGGGAGCCCTCTTTGCTCTTTGGTTCTTTGTGCCAAGTTGTTACACGTGCAACCCAAGTGTGCAACCAATGTACGACAGATTTCTTTTATTTCATTTTCCCAGAAGTTTAGCCCCAATTGTCCTTACAGATTTTTTTTTTTGGTATAAATTAGCACTCATATCAAACGTAACCATCGTCATGTTGGAACAAAGCTAAAATCTCATGTGGCCTACCCATGAAGCATATTAATCCTGGGAAGAACCACTGCAAATAAAGAAAGCAGTATATACAATTTTTAATACCTTCATACCTCTGTCAGGACCACCAGAAAAGAAGACAGTTCTCATAACAGAGGGACCAAGTTAGTAACTTGGTCTACTAATTAGACCAAGACACCAAAACCGATTTTTTTGGTGTGATCTTACATATTCAGCAGATGACACTATCAAACCATAAAACTATCTACCCTCTTCCAGATGAATCATCATAATTTATAATAATTTTACTCAACAGATTTCAGCTTTTTAATCTAATCAAGCCTCATCTATGAACAGACTGTGTTCCTTATCAAATACATGTTTTTGTTTAAAATTTGCCAACTGGCTAGGTATTCATCATATTCCCCAACCAAAATGTTTTTACATTTCTTTCCATTACAAATTCTCTCCTGCCCTAGCCTTTCTGAGGACTGTAAATGAATAATTCACTGGGCTTAGTTGTATATTGAATATTAACAGACTTCCTCTATCTTTATTTTTACATGAAATTTAACTCATGTCTTGCCATAATTCTGGTAGCATATTTTTTCTTTTTTTCAGTTTGTCAAGTGGGATTTGCAAAATATGCTCTCTGTTCTCAAGAGCACTGTTAGCTTCACACTGACTTCACAGCAAAAGCACTAGACTACATTCATGACTACTTCACATTCAAGTCCTTCTAAGTACTTAGCTGAAGCTAATATTAATTAGCTGTGAGGCACTTTTTGGTAAAAGGAAAGACTCACAGTGAGCTTCATGAAAATTTGGACTGTCCTCTCTTCTTTCGTTCCCCTTGTACATAGGTATCACTATTAGCAGTATTGGGAGCATTTTTCAGTTGTGTGCAGCTGGAGTGTGGTGTTTAGGGGTTTTTTTGTGTTGGTTTTTTTATTTGTTTGTTTTATTTTGTGTTATTTTTCGCTTTCATTTCATGCATGTATATACCCTCCTCCTTCATGGTTTACTGACAGAAACAAAGACTAAAATCAAAATTGTAATAAGAAAAAATTACCCAGACTATTGAGAAAGTGTTAAAATTACATTATTAAAGGAAGATTTGCATTACACTCAATACAAAAAAAAGTAAGTATGATATTTAGGACACCTGAATTCTTTAAGGTCATGCAAAAAAGTAACAGCCTAATTTGAGTGACTTCAATTAATCCAGTACTCACAGGACATACAATTTTTGCTTAGTGAAAGTTAAGGTCTCTAAAAATAAAATAAAAAAAATAAAAAAA